AGAGTGTATAGAATATAGAAACTACACTCTACTATATACAGAGAGTATAGAGAATATAGAAACTACACTATACTATATATGAATGAGCAAGTAGAAGCACTGTGTCGTTTGAAGTATACATCTGCACGGTGTTTAATTGCTTATTCCAGGTGGTGAATGCATGGGTGTGTGCTATCGTGTTGTCCGCACGTTCCTGCATTTTTTGAACTTCACAGAGAGGGAAGGAAGGAAGGAAGGAAGGACTTGGAGAACCCAAAGGGAAAACAGGGAAAACTAGGATTCCTGTCCCACCTGGAGGAGAGGATGGTGGAGGCTCACTTCTCTAAGGAGGGACGAGGGAAACACCTGCGTTTTCCTTGGTTTTCATGGACAGCGCATTTCCCTCAAGCCCCATATTCTCCTCTACACCCCTTCCTCCACCCCACCCCACCCCCACTTTTCTCATGAGCAGCCGGTGAAGGAAGCAGGTGTGCTAGGAGCTGCGGCCTCCTGTGCTTCCCTGGGGCACGCACCGTGTCCAGCTCCGCTTCCAGGCTGCAGTTTGTGATCCGTGGGAACACCTCGCCGTACTGGCTCGGGTAGGCGGAGGCGAGGTAGCTCTTCACTTGCTCCAGGTTGCTGGGGGTCAAAAAGCCGTCTTCAAGGTCAAAAGAATTGGTCAGCAGCAGAATCACCCTGTGGAGCAGATCATCGATTGGCCCTCGCCCACTACAGAGGCCACAGTCCGTCCGTCCCCTTCCCCCCGCCGCCCCCCTTCAGAAGCTGGGGCTCTCGGCCGGGCTGCCCACTCCTTCAGCCTCTTCCTGACTCAGGAACGGACTCCTCTCCCCTCCGATGAAGGGAATCTGCCGACTGGTGACCCCTTAAAAAGGGCCAAGTGATTCTGCAGGCTTGGACAAAGCCTCAAGTAAGATCAGCAATGACAATGGGGGCCAGCCCCACACAGGGAGGCTGTTGTAACCTTTGGGCCGGTGCTGTCCGGCAGAACGGCAGTGTGGCTGCCGGACTGGGCGGTGCAGACAGAACCCGTGAGGGTGGACTGCTTCTCTTTCTGTGCTGTGCCGCATGGCAGGCACCCACTAGGCTGCTGAGAGAAGCTGAATGTTCCGTTTCACTTGATTTAAACGAATTTAAAGGGACCAATAATCACCGCTCTGAAGAGCACAGTGTCTGCACGGTGCTTCTTGAATAGTTGGAAACGGGGAGCAAAAGTAAGTGCTGGGGCTTAAGCAGAGAGCTTCCCGTATGTCCGAGGCAGGAGAGATGGGACAGTGGAAACTGAGGTTTGTTAAACACTCAATTGGCCGTAGTGCTTTGAATGACGGGAGCAGACAGCGGCGTGCCCAAGGAGTGGGGGGCTGGTGGGGCCACCTGGAACCCTGACCGAAGGCTCCGAGCTAGAGCTCCTGACTCCCTGGGGCCCACCTCTTCTTCCCCGCTGATGAACCTTCCGCTCAGAGCTTCTGGGACTCCTCTCTGGGTGCCGCGCGGGGCCTGGGCGGGGCTTACTTGTTTAGGCAGTTCTCGTAGTTGAAGGTGGCCTTGAAGCCGTAGATGGAGAAGGTGACGATGCTGGCGAAGATGGAGGTGGCGCTGTTGATGAGGGAGACGATGATGGCGTGCTTCTGACAGTTGTTGGAGGGCTCGTTGTAGCTGGCAAAGGCGATCAGGCTGCCGAACCCCAGGCCGAGCGAGAAGAAAATCTGGGTGGCCGCGTTGATCCAGGCCTTGGGGTTGGCCAGTTGCTCCAGCTAGAGGGGAGAGGGCCCGTGAAGCCGGCGCAGGATGCTCAGTGTGTAGGCGGGCCAAGAGAGGCACGAACTCATGGATGGGCTCCTAGCCCGTTAGAGACGGGCCTGGGCGGGGAGCTGAGCAGTCTTTACGATTCCCCAGCACATGAAACGCTCGGGCCCTCCTCCGCCGTCCCCCCATCGCAAACAACACCCGCCCCTGCTGTCCAGTGGAGTCTAACCGGTGGAAGGGTTTCTGAGCCGACAGCCTCAGTTTTCTCCCTGGAAAGGGCTGCTGGGTGTGAACCACCGATCTTACTGTCAGCAGCCCAACACTCACTGGACAACGCCCTGAAACTCCCCACAGGAGGCGCTCAGATGAAAACAGCAGCACAAAATCAGTGGACAACAGATCGAGCCCCTGATCTGGGGCCCAGGCACTGTGAGGGGAGAGATGGAGGGGCTGCGAACCGGTGGTGGAAGCCCAAGCTTAGGTGTAAATGCCACGCGGGGATGGGTGTGGGGCTTTGGAAGCATTTTGTTTCCGGGGTCACATTTGCTCAAGGAAGAACTTGTTCTGTGCTTAAGGCCAGGAGAGCCCCTCAGTGAAACACACTCTCGGTGGGGGTCCCTGGAGAGAGGTGGGTGGGTTATGAACAGGAGAGCGATATTTATGGCAAATAACTCAATCGACGGTCTGGAAGCTGGTTGTTTTGCTTTGAAGGGTGTCTCCCAAGAAGATAGATTGAAATCCCAGCCCCTGTCTCCGTGCCTGGACTCAACTTTTCCTTTGCAGATGTCCTTAGCTAAATTAAAGAGGCCACGCAGGAGTCCACGCAAGCCAAACTTGTGGCCACGGAGTCAATTTTCGACTCAAAGCAACCCCTACAGGAGTAAGGTAGGTCCTAATCCCTGGTCCCAGCTGGCTGCTGTCTTATGGAAGGGGAAAATTGACTTGGAAATGGGGCACAATGGGGACGGGACAATCCTTAGGAGAAGATACCGTCAACAAGTTCATGGAAAAATTCCATTTCTCTTTTAATTCCATTTCCCATGAACGTTTGAAGCCCTTTTATAGAGCTACAAACCAAGGGCTGCCAAGAAACTCCTGGTGCCACCCGCAGCTGGTCAGAGCCAAAGAAGGATCTCCCTCAGGGTGGGCACAGAGCAGACCCGGCCCTGCACATGCTGAATCTGGACCCCTGGGACTGTGAGAAGGTAGCATTCTCGTCTCTGGAGTCACCGGCGTGGTTATAATTTTCCTGGTAGCACCAGGTAACGGATCCAGCGGGTTTGCAGTAAGAGGCTCGGGCAGCAATCCGTGGAGGGAGGGTCGAGAGAGTGTCCTAATGACTCAGCATGAAGAGGGTGTGGAGCCTACCAGCGTGGTCCTGGCATGGTACAACCTTTTGGCTCCGAACATCAACGTGGGTGGAGCAAACCCCTCGGGTGCTACCCTCAAAGAAAGGCGTAGAGACCTCGTACCATCAGGATCACAAGCAACGGAGCCCTGCGGAAGTGTTCTGTTCCGTGACACGGGGCGTGGGCGTGAGCTGGAATGGACTAGACGGTGTTTGCTTGAGGGGTCACCGTGGGCTGAGCAGACGGTCTCGTGGCTACAGGGAACCTATCCCCTCATCACAGTCTGGTGGGCTCCCACCCATCTCCTGAGGTACACTACAGCTCCCACCACCCACCCTCTGCCTCGCCCCCCTTCCCACCCATCCTGGAAGCCAGCGGGCTGGGTGAGGACACCTCAGGGCTCTTTCTCCAGCCAGTACCTTGGGAGTGAACATGTAGGCCAGGCCGTTGGTGGCTCCATGGAGTGTGAGGCCCCTCACCAGGTAGATGATGAGGACGCAGTAGGGCAGCGACGCGGTGAAATACACCACCTGCGGGCACGGGAGAATGAGGCTATTTCAGTGTGGGGAGGGTTCCAAACCTAATCACTTCTGAGCTACAGAGAGACCAGACTCCACCCAGAGACACACACACCCAGGAGAGTAGAGAAGCCATGTGGGAAATGGTCTACCCGTCAAGGGACCCAGGAACACCCTGGGCTAGGGATAAGGGAGGTATCAACATGGTGGGGGCCTTGAGGTGAGCTGGCAGCCTCCACACGTGTGAGAAAACAAATGTCTGTTCTCTAAAGGCCCCTCACGGTGGTGTCTGTGTTACAGCGGCACGAGCAAACTAAGACAGGACAGCGGTCTCCGTCCTCCGCTGGACCTCATCCTGAAAAAGGTTTGGGGTCAACTGCACCCATGCTTTCAAATGACTAGAAGGCAGCCTAAGAGGCAAACATGGGCCCAAAGAAAAGGCGCCGGGGTGGGGGTGGGGGGAAGGTCCTCCCTGGTTTTACAAGTGAGCCAAATTCAGCTCTGAGCTTCCTTGTGACCTAAGCAAAACTGGAGACACATCACTTACAAGATTATCTGTAAAAGGAAATAGTGATAAAAACCCCAGGCCTGGTGGCAGGCCAGCCGAAGGTCGTCTGCGTGTATAAAAGAGAGGCAGGGTGGCAAGGAAAGGCCAAGGTCCTCCCCATAAATACCTCAGGGAATCGAGTGATTGGACCAAGGCAGCCCACACATCAGAGCTCTCTTGAGTGGACTTTAAAATTGCACACACATGGTATTTTATCCCCCCAGCCAAATCTTCATTTCCTATGTATTGGCCTCCCAAGCTCAATAACGCTTTATCTTCAGTTTCCACGAACCTTTGGCCATAGCCCCTCATATGCTGGAGACTTCTAACTTTAACAAAGTTTTCTCAGAGACATGTGCAACGCGCATGTATTCAACCAACCACCCAGGACCGGATGTTTTCCTCCCTGTAATTCAACTCTGTCATGCACCACAGTCTCTTCTTTTGGAAAGCAAAGAACTCATTTGTGAGATTCCTTTGTTTGTTTTTAAATGCATAGGCAGTTCCCTTCAGAGTGGGGAGCCTTCTGGGTGAATCAAAGCAGATGGCCCATGTGCAAGTCGATGGGGGTGTACTGCACGTGGCCATCCGGTCACACCAAGGTGTGGTACCCCACCTTCTCCTGGGTTTCTGAGGCCACCAGGGTCATGCCATATGCCCTTCCCGCTCTGGGGACAGCAGGAGAATGACAGTGTGTCATTTCTCATGGTATCTTAGCTGAGATCACTGTCACTAGGGAGAGTAATAAATCCACCTTAAGTGATAAGAAAATAAACCAGGGGCACACAGAGGTTGGCCAGTGGATAAAATGGGCATCAGGTCATGGAGCTGAATGAACTCAAGGGAGAACAGGTGGTGGGGAGGGGAGTGACCAATCTGGAGAACTAACCAGTGGGTGACAGAGGAGATTCCAGGGGCGAGCCTTGGTATCCCTCCACTTTCCCAGATGAGCAAGAAGAGTTCCCCTCCTGTGGTAGTTACATCATTTCATGTCAACTTGACAAACAGGTGAAGGGGTGCAGTCTAGCTTGTCCATCAGGCCACAGCCTGATGATGCCTCCTGGTGGGTGTGGCTTTCTCATGAGGATTCTGGGAAGTTCCTCGGCCTCTCTTTCTGCCTTCACCTTCCTGCTGGTGAGACACTCAGAGGGCTGGAGGCGCCATGTGGAGACCCGTGCCAAACTGAGATGCTTCCACAGCCGCTGGATCTACAAGACTTTTCACCCACCGGCATGCGATCTTCCTGCAGTCTGCATCATGCCATGTGGCTGTGTGAGTCTGAAGAGGGACTTATGGACTAGCAGCAGACTTCGGGGCTAATATCGGACTTGTGGACTTGATCTGGACTGGGGTGTTCCCTTAATTGATATAAAGCATATATATATGGATTTGTTTCTCTAGTCTACCCAGTCTAACACACCTCCCTTTCTGCTAAGCAAGCTTTCCTGAAGGCTTCTCCCAGATCAGGGAAGCAGGTCGGGTGGCTGGGCATGTGACCAAGCCCACTGGGAGAACCCGTTGCTGACCACGCTGCACAATTCTTGGAGGGAAACAAAGGAGATTCCCAAAGAGGGACCAGGAACTGCAGAGTCTCTGTCAGGACAGTTGGCAGCTGCTGTTGAGTTGGTCCCTGACTCATGGGCACTCCATGCCCGATGGAACAAAGGCTGCCCAGCTCCTCGCCCCTGCACTGCAGAGGCCCTGCGGGGCGGTGCCTGAAACAGAGGTCCTTGCTGCTTGGCTGCCTACCTTCCCGGTGGACTCGGTCCCTCTCAGAATGCAGAGATACACCACAAGCCAGGCCAGAATCAGGCACAGTGCAGGCTCCCACTGCACACCCCCGTTCTCTTGGATGGAGGGGGAGATGTTGAGGGTTTTCCTGTACCAGAAGTACTGCGTGGAGGACGCCTTCTCACACTCCTCGTCGTAGCCTGTGCGGTTAGCGTTCAACGGGCAGACGGACCACGGCAGGGGATCCTTTGGGATCAAAACAAACGTTATATAGAGAAGATGAGAGCTAAGGCCACAGGTGTGAAGACTGTCACCCATGCTACATCATGCTTCAAGGCAACATTTCATTGATTTGTCCTTAGAAATAAGCATTTCACAGTCTGTAATTACATATTGTTTTTGTGATGAATCACTATGCTTTATGTTCGAGTTGTAACCATGAAAATACATGCTGCCTATCAGATATTTACATGATGATTCATCACAGTAGCAAAATGCCAGTGATGAAGTAGCAATGGTTGGGGGTCACCACAACTCGAGGAACTGTATTAAAGGGTGGTGGCATTAGGAAGGGTGAGAACCACCGCCCTAAGGCAACCTCCTTTCTAGTGGGTCAGGGCTGTGACCCGAGTAAGGGTATATGCTTCCTGATCTATTTCTCTGACATCTGAATGTCTGATCACGTCAGGTAACATCCTGAGATATGATTACATCATTCCATAACTGCCAAATCATTAGGTGCTGTCAATGTGCAGTCCCAAACTGGCCTGTTCTTATACCATTTGCGCCATTGCTGCTCCGTGGGAGCCCATGGTGGGAGCCCCTGTGTCAATGCATCTCCTTGAGGGTCTTTCTCTCTTTCACGGACCCTCGACTTTGTGCCTCTTCAGATGCTGGTGTCTCCTGAGAACATGCCCAGAATATGTGAAATGAAGTCCCACCCTCCTCGCTTCTAAGGAGCATGATGGCTGTACTTCCTCCCAGGCAGATCTGTTTGTTCTGGTCGTCCATTATGTTTTCAACATTCTTCCCAATCGCATCATTCGAATGCATCCGTTCTGCTCCAATCGTCCTTGGTCACTGTCCGGCTGTGGCATGCACAGGAGGTCACTGGAAATGCCATGGCTTGGGCCAGGCTCTTCTTCGTCCTCAAAGCGACATTTCTGCTCTTGAGCACTTGAAAGAGGTCTTGGGCAGCAGATTTGCCCCGTACAATTCATTCTTTGGTTTCTTGAATGCTGCTTCCATCAGTGTTAATTGTGGATCCAAGTGAAATGCAATCCTTGACAATATCAAACTTTCCTCTTTTTAGCATGATGTTATCTATTGGTCCAGTGGGAGGATTTTAAAACAACATTTTTTGGTCTCCTTTACATTTAGCTGTAATCCACACTGAAGACTGTAGTCTTTGATTTTCATCGGTAAGTGCTTCAACGTCTCTCAGCAAGCAAGATGTGTCATCTGCATATAGAAGATTATTAATCGGCTTTCATTCAATCCTGATGTCACCCTCTTCCTCATCTCGTTCAACCTCTCAGATTATTTGTTTAGCATGTAAACGGAGTAAGTGTGGTAACAGGTGACAGACCTGACTTTCAGATACTTCATGATTTTAAAATACACAGCATCCCTTGTGTTCTCACGGCTTCTTGGTCCGTGTCCAGTTTCCACAGGAACACAAGACAGTGTTCTGCAGTTCCCATTCTTCGCACTGTGATCCATAGTTTGTTATGATCCAGGCAGTGGGATGCCTTTTAGAGTCAATAAAACACAGATAGGTTTACTGTGCCCACCTGGCCAATAGGAACATGTGGGATTAATCAGGTCGCAGTTTGATTGGAGGGCAGAGAGATAAATGGCCCTGTAAGGCCCGCCCCCCTCTATCAGGCTCTCTGGTGATTGGAG